CGCGCTCTGCCCCCCCCCCCCCCCCGCTGGGGTGGACGGCTGTGGGCAGTTACCTGCCAGCTGGGTCGGTCCACCACGACCGATCTGTTCCATGGCTCTCCGGTGGGGATTTGTACCCTAAACCGCAAAACTCCGAGTCCTAAACTGCTAAACTCTGAGTCCTAAACTGCTAAACTCTGAGTCCTAAACTGCTAAACTCCGAGTCCTCTGATTCTTGGCCAGATCCAGCAGGTGTGTTCATTGGTGCGGGGTATGTGGAAGCGAAAACTGCTGGGGAGGGGAGTCGGATAGGAAAAGCGAGCTGGAAATCTCTCACTTTGTTTGGAACCGAACGTACTCGGACCGCGTGCAGGGGAGGCGGAGGCCGTAGGCATCAGACTTGCAGCGTCTGCCCCAGAGCTGGGGGTGTTTCGGATTTGTGAGTAGGGCTCCGATTTCGATGGAAGTCGGTGACGTAACCCGAAATGAGGCTCGGAGGTTGGGGGTGGCTCTGCCAGCGGTCCTGGGGCCCGGCCTTGTGACAGTGGGGACAAAGTTCCCTTTGGAGGCAGGGACTGAGTGCTTCAGAGGGAGGCCTGGCTGCGTTTGTAACTTGCCGTCTGTACGCAGCAAGGTATATAATCTTTTTAATTCATGTGGAAGGTGGATCTTATGCAAAATTTACATCGCATTTACCCATTTGCTGTGACTTTTTCTCTTGTGTCTGCTTCTGGTGTGTCTTCTCAGGTCCCTTTCCTCTCCTGGAGAGCTTATCTCTTGCTTTTAGAGTTCCAGACAGCTTTCCCAAGGGATGACGCTGTGCTATGGCAGAGCGGCTCTTCACAGGACTCGTTACCGGCATTTTGCTATGAGCTGTCTCGAAGCAGCTGATGGACTGCGGGACTCCTTTGGGGGCGTTACAGAATATGAGGGGGAGAGCGAGCGTGCGAGCATTCTGCTAGAAAATTGCAGGGTTTGCGCGCCCTTTCATATCTGCTCGTGAAGAGCAGTGGTCGTGGGTTAACGGTAAGGGAAACGGGAGTGGTAGCGATGAGAGTTCTCACCGGAAAAATCCTTTTTATCGAGTGGCAGCGTCGCAGTTGCCATTTCACAGGTGTCCGGTTGTTTTTTCTGTGCCTTGTGTATGTGTGCTCAGGATTTGTGCTCTCTGCTGTTTCCCTCCTCCAGGAGCTGATAACGGAGAGCCAAATGCAGTCCGTGTTTACAGATATCGGCAAAATCAACTTCAGAGATCCTTCGAATTACTGCGTGATTCCCAGCGTGCCGGGCCTGGCGTCTAATTCTGTCGCCTCAGCGGCGTGGCTTAGCAGCGAGGGGGAGGCTCTCTTCGCTCTGCCCTCTGCTTCGGGAGGGATCTTCGTCCTTAAGCTGCCTCCTCACGATGCGCCCGGTAAGGAGCGGGAACAGGCTGTCTCCTCGCATCTGCCTCTGCAAAACACCGCTCAGGGTGGCATCCCCCCTCCTAGCTTTGAACTTCGCTTGAGTTTGATTTTTGCCGTGTGTCGTACAAATTCACTCCGCGCACGCAAAAGCTCTTTTACATCGTGGCTGTGAAGCCCCTTGCTGGTGGCGGTAAATATTTTGTTAACGAGTACCCAACGTATGTCTTAATATCACTTTTATTTTGAAAGGAATGGTTTCAGTTGTGGAATTGAAACAGAGCTCGGTGATGCAGCGTTTCCTTACCGGGTGGATGCCAACTGCCATCAGGTTAGTGTCTGGTGACGAATAAGTGGAACTAATTTTGTCTTTTTGAGTCCCTCACCTAGAGTTTCTAGCTGAAGTCAAAGACAGGCAAGTCAGGTTCTATAAATACTCTGCCAAAAAAGTTAACTGCGTCGCAGGACCTATCGCGGTAGGGAAGTTGGGACTTGGAACGCTGGATTAATTCATCTTAATATGGGGTCCTGCTGACTCTGTGTGTCTGTGTCTACGAATGTGTTATATCTAGTAATGGGCCTCCAAGGATTTGTCCAGGATATGGCTCGCAGCCAGCGCAGATTAGGGATTACAACAGTTGTATGTTCTTGCCCTTGTTCCGAAACGTCAGGCTTGTTCCTGGCCGGCAGAGGTTACGTGTGGATGACACGGACGCTCTGTGTGCAGACTGGGCTCGGTGTTGGGTCGTAATCGTTACGGTATCTTAGAGCGCAACAACCAAATTCTAGGCCCTCTTGGAGATGGGAGCGAGTCCCCTGACGCCCTGAATGACTTTGACCGTCAGCGGTGCATTGCTTGGGGCTGGTGGGATCCTTCCTTCCCTCCGGATCCTTCGCCCGCGTTCTGCAAGCGCTAGGCTGGGGCTGGGGAAGCCAGGGATGTGCTTCGGCTCTGCCAAGGCGGGTGAAGAGCTGGGCGTTACCGGTGTGGTGGGCTCCTCTGCGCCTTGGACGCTGACCCGCACAGTCCTGAAACGCTGCTCTCTGCTCCTGGTCTCACACCACTGATCTATTTGTTTTCAAACGCAGTGCGATAGAAACCCTGTGCCTTGGATCTGTGCGCTGACCTTGATTTTTCTTTTAAGCTGTTGAAACAAACTCTGTATTTTCAGAGGTGACTGTGGCCCGTCGGACCTGCCTATCAGCCTCTCTGTTCACTGCCTAGATCACGATGCCTTTCTCTTTGCTCTCTGCCAGGACCATAAACTTCGGATGTGGTCCTATAAGGTGAGCGAGGCCTGCTTTCGGGGGAGTAGCGTCTTCCGTCGCTGCTCGGGTGATAGTCTGAGGCATAAGAAACGAAGGCTGAGTGGTCGGCATAGATTCGACCTGCCGTTAAATTGTCACTGAGTCAACTTCCGCACGCTGGGATTCAGAGCAATTTGTGAAAATTGTTGTGGCGTGTGTTTGTAGCCACGTTCGGAAAGCGGGTGTTGGTTCTTCTCTGCGGCAAAGCCCTGTGCGTAGGGTAAGAGGCTGCGTTAGGTTATTTACAAATGCAGTGCAGCGTTTGGGAAGGCAGGCAGGAGCGCTTCAAGGGCCGAGGAGGCACACCAAATGATTTTTCTACTGCTTTAGCGGTAATAAGAGCGTCTTTGTAACGTGGCTCCTCGTCAACAAGAAGTTAATAAAAGCCTCTGCTTGCTGCATGCCACTTGCTCCAAATATCAGTGCCAAAGCTAATCGACCAGCACAACTGCTTTCACGGCTCGTCTGCACTGGAATGCGTGCGTGCTTACGGGAGGGAGGGGAAGCTTCATCGTACGTGCCTGGGCTCTGAAAGCCCATGTGCTCGGTGGGAGAGGGCACAGGTGAGATGGGGAAAGCTGAACGGTGGTTCGGGTATGGATGCTCTACTTGCATCCTTTAGGGGAAGGTCTGGGCAGACTTTGGCCAGAAGGGGAAGGATGAGGGAGAAGGGCAGTTTCTCAGTCCTGAGTCTCTCCTACGCTACTTTCCTGATACCTTTATTCTGTGTAGGATCAAATGTGCCTGATGGCTGCAGATCTGCTGGAGTTCATGCCGGTCAGCAGGGACCTGCGGCTTGCAGCTGGGACCGGGCACCGACTGCGGCTGGCCTTCTCCCAGTCCCTGGGGCTTTACCTCGGCGTGTACATGCACGCACCCAAGCGAGGGCAGGTACGGCGTGATGGGGCTTCCTCGCTGTGAATGCCTCTTTCTTGGGCTGCACGGAAAATACGTCGTTCCTCCCTGGATTTGGGTCTGTAAGGCAAGAAATAGGGAAAAGTTTCACGTCTGACCCTCTGGAGAGAGCAGTACTTTCTGAATAAACAAACTTTTTTGTTCTCAAAGCACTGCAAGATACACGTGCTCTTGCCTTGGGAGTGGAACTCCCTGTGTGACTAAGCTGAGCTGTGGGTGCTAGTTCACTTGTTCACCTCCTGTTCCGGTAGGATCCTGAAAGTACATATGTGCCGTGGGAAAAGGAAAGGTCCAAAAGGAGCTAAAAGCATGGAAATACTGATAGTATATTTATGTCGGGCTCCTGGGAGCGTGCGGACGCATCGCTGTGCGTTGCCAAACGTTGGCTTCTGCAGAACTTCTGCTTCTTGCGGTGAATAATAAATCTAGCAGGACAGGGATGACGGCACAGAGTAGTCTCATCTGTTGGACAGCTTACCCTTTCCCTTCTCCAGGGGATTCATTCGCATACGGAGTAGAAGCGCGTATCGTGACTTCTGCTGTCCCGCTAGTGCTCTGCTTGCTCTGGTAAGAACACGCAGAGCTTGGTTTGCAGCAAGTGGCCTGAGGATTCAGGGCTTTTCCACCTTAGTCTCCTTACTTGCCCGCATCGTGGTGTTGCTAGCAGTGCGCCAGCAGTGGTGTTTTTACCATTTTTCTGGTTTGGTCTTTCCAAAGGCAACTAGAAATCCTTCAGGTTCAGGCAGAGGCGAGTGTGCTTGCCGGGAAGGCTGAAGTCAGCGTTGTCAGTACGTGGCGCAGAGGGTCAGCTTGGCAGGGTCCGTGGCGTGCTCAGCTCGGCCCTCCTGCCCTCAGCCCGTAGGGGTCTGGCGGCTGTAGCATCAGGCAAGGAGAGGGACCGGAGGGACGAGCTTCCCCGCGACGTGCTGGTTATTGGCTTAGCCGTCCTTTGGCGAATGACTTACGGGGTGTGTTTGTAGTTCTGTGTCTTCCAGCTGGTGAGCACCGAGAGCAACCGCTACAGCCTTGACCACATATCCTCCCTGTTCTCCTCGCAGGTGAGTGCTGGGGCCCGGCTCCCCCAGAAGGCACTGGGACAAGAGGGAGGGTTGCTTACCGAGAGATCAGAGGCCCGGACTTGGGGATTTAACTGTGAATAAAGAATTCTTTCCAAAACGTGCTTAAATGATACGAGGGAATGTTTTGCTGTTGTTAACTACGCGCGTCTCTCTGCTGTACTCGAATTTACAACGAGGAGGTAAATATGTGCCCTCTTTCCTAGGAGACTCTCGTTGACTTTGCCTTAACCTCGGCTGAGATCTGGGCACTGTGGCACAACGAAGAGAACCAAACCGTTGTGAAATACATCAACTTCGAGCAGTGAGTTTCTGCGCTGAATTGCTAGCCTTGATAGGGGGGGGGGGGTGGGGGGGGGGGTAACTGCAGGAGCAGCTCCCAGATGCTGCTCATTAAAAGCACCGATGGAGCTCCTCAACCTTTTTCCTGTCCTGCTTTGCTGACTGGAATGTGTGGAGATGCAGATAGTTCTTCCTGTTGCAGTGTTCGTCTCACGTGCACGACTGCGTCTTCCTGCAGTGCAGATTACATGGATTTTTTTTGATTTTTTTTTTTTTTTGGGGTTCTGCTTTATAGTAAAGCTACAGCTCAGCTGCAGGAATGTGAAAAATGTAAAAAGATGGGCGGCAGGCTTGCTGGGAGCGGAGTCCGCTGTGAGCGTGTCAGAGGGAGGGCTGTACTTCACCGACAGCTCCTTCAAACCATAACTGGCTGGTCTCTTCTGGGAAGGATGTTTGGAGGAGACCAGTGATGTGAAAGCATCAGCTCTATCTTTTTAAAGCTGAGAGGGCAGGCTTGGTGCGTAACCAGACCAGGAAGTTAAATTCTGGGTAAAAAATGCTGTGAGTCTGCAGGTTTGGGCAGAAGAATCTACTGGTCAGTCTGAGAGAGTTGCTTGGTGAGCACGTGCGATGGGGAGAATGTTGATATAAATTAAGGAATCCAACCCGTTCTGTTAGCTCGGGGCTGGGGATGCCGCCGTTAAGCTGTCCTGTCACTTGTCAGTGGTCAAAGCTCCTCTGTTACCAGATCCAAGGGGCCGTGGTTGCTGTAAAGTCTGTGACCGCTGGTGAAAGTGACAGGTTGGGTTCAGACGGCTGCTCTGTTGGAGCCTTGCAATGCAAAGCCGGTTCTGGTTTTATTTTTCTTCCAGAAATGTCGCGGGCCAGTGGAACCAGGTCTTTGTGCAGCCACTGCCTGAAGAGGAAGTGACGGTTCGACACGATCAGGACCCCAGGGTGAGCCGATTATAAAATAGCAACGAGAAGTAATGAAGCTTCTCTGCCCAGGAGGAGAACATTAAGACGGTTCAAGCGTACAAATTATATTGATACAGTCTTAAAATTACTCCAAATTAAAGGGGACAAGCCTTAGCCTCTGTTGCCACAGCATTAAAGGGCTAAGCATGGTCATGAAACCAGAAGTTGAGGGATGAGGAGAATTTCAAGTCAGTCAAGAGAGAGCCTTGAGACAAGACATGTGAATAAACAAGATCTGGAGTGTGCGGGAAGCGGTGTCGATCACAGGAACTGCAAAGGGGTTGGAAGGGGAGAGGCTGGAGCAGGGTTTGGGCGTGAACTGAAGCTGGAAAGAAACACAGATCCAGGGGATGAGCTTGAGCATGGGAGGAAGGACCAGAAGCAGGATCTTAAATGCTCTCCTCCTGACACGTGTGTTTCCTTAAATTGCTGTCGTGTTCTCTTTGCAGGAAACCTACCTGGAGTATCTCTTCATGCCTGGCCGGTTCACAAATGCAGCTATCCAGAAGGCTTTACAGGTTAGTGAGAGGGCATTTGGTGCGCTCTCTGTTCAGCTTCTCCTTCCTGGCCATTTAGATGTGAGGCAACAGGACTCCTTGGAGCTCTTGGCGGGCATCAGTTTGCATTTGATAGTTTGTGGAGCTGTCAGTAGTCACCGAAGCGAGTTAGCGGCTGTTGTGCCGTACTTCAGCCGGTGTGTGCTGACGGCGGGAGGCAGAATGTGGTTTCCAGAAGATGTTTTCTCTTAGGACAGCAGGTTGCTGAGCTTGCTTTTCACTGCCTGCTGCTTTAGCCAGATGAACGGAGACTCTCAGCCCACTGTAGTGCTGTTGCTCAGAATACATCCGCTCGGTTCTGGCTCCTCTCGGGCTGTTAAGGGCAGAGCAAGGCAACGCGCGGTGCCTTTTCAGGAAAAATGGAAAAGCCAAACTTCCTCTACTCTGACCGCGTTGATTCTTTGTGCTGTGACCTTATGGAGGCCTGTAGCAAGGTACGAGAGCGAGCTGCTGTGAAGGTGTGCAGCGCTTCTTTCCTTACATCCCAGTGCAGTGCCTGCCAGGAGGCTTCCTCCATTTCCACAGGAAGAGCGAAGCTGGCTGTACGTCCGTGTACCCCACGTTTAGCAGCCAGCCATGTTTTTTAACACTTTCGTCCCGCGAAGCGCTGACCGATGCTCTCGTGTTTGCTTTACGTCATTCAGTGCTGCTCGAACCTCGGGGAGACGGCTCTCTTGCTTCAAAGTAAAAGTTTACTGTGCTGCTTTTCAGATCTTTTCTCAAGGAACTGAGAGACACGTGGATCTGACGTGGGATGAGTTAAAAAAAGAGGTTACCTTAGCCGTAGAAAGGAAGGTGAGATTCTTCCCCCCCCCCCAATATGTTTTGTTGTTACACCTGTTGTATGCAGTATTGCGATGGTTGGGTGAAGTTAAACGAGGTGCAAAGTGACCCCAGGCCTTGTTTTGTCCTTTGTCTCTCCAAAGGAGTTATGTGACTTTTAAAAAAAAGTACAAATCTTCATCCTTCCGGTCTGGCTTTTCCATCCCCTCTTGTTTTTCGGAGTCCTTTCTTCTTTCTTGGTGTTCTGCTGTCTCTGCTCCCTGGGTGCACTCTGCATGGAGTGTGCTTTGCTGGTCGCACGTTGCGTGCTGCCCATTCTCAGCTCCCTGTGCGTGGGTGCTGGCCGCCACCACGCAGAGCTGTTGCTCATAATTTTGGACACCAGAAGACAATCTGCTTAGAGGACCTATCCGAAAGATCAACTGGCTGTCCTTTTGGGTCTGAATTTCCCCCATTTTATCCTACTTCTCCAGATTTTACTCTGATATGCCCGATTCTCTAAGCCAGCAGTCCTTCCACCTGCGGCTCATCCTTGAGGCTGCTTAGACTATTGCTAGAAAGCTTGCAAAAAAAGGTGGTTTTGTATCCTCTGTAGCAATCTTCACGCACGATGTTTTTAGAGATCTGCAGTGCTGCCCTTTTTTCTTGATACCATTGGTGCTTCTTTATCTGAGGTTGTATAGAAATGGTTCTTGTGGCTTTGTTCCCCTTGCTGTTTGCTGCGTGATTCAGTGCTGTAGGAAAAAACTTAAATTTTGATGGTAAGGTGGTGGGGCAGAGAACCGTAACTGGTGTTTATAAACCTTAACCATGTAAAGGTGTGGCACTGGTCATGAGAGACAAGACAGCGGTCTGGACGCCACCATTTTTCTCTCTGGTTCGTTGCCTGTATTCATCTGAAGTCTTGTTTTGGTCCTGCTAGTTCCAGGGCAGCGTGACAGAATACGAGTGCTCACCGGAGGAGTTTTGGCAGCTGCAGGTGGAGTTCTGGTCCAAGTTCTATGCCTGCTGCCTTCAGTACCAAGAAGCGCTCTCACGGCCCCTGGCCCTGCACTTGAATCCCTACACCAGCATGGTGTGCCTGCTGAAGAAGGTGAGGCTGAGCGGCGGTGGCTTTTTGGCCGCTGCGGCCAACCGAAGCAGTGATCTCCAGGGAGGAGTTCTACTGACTGAGGTGTGGATTTGGGGAGCTCAAAGAAGGGCTTTCTCCTCACCTTTCTAGGGCTCCCTGTCTTTCCTCGTGCCCTGCTCCTTGGTGGACCATCTCTATCTCCTCTCTAACGAGCACCTCCTGACTGAGGATGACGCAGCCATCTTTGATGGTAAGTGAGGAGATTTTTTGGAGCTTTTTCATTGTTGGAGGCTGAAACGCTGCATGTCAGGGAAGCCCTGGGCAGAGGGATGTGGGAGTTTCCATAGAGGTCTCTTGAAGTGCTCCTGACTCCATAGTTGTCTACATGGAGACAGTTTTCTTATTTTGGCAATTGCAGGGAGTTTTATTTTGTGAAACCTGCCATCGTGCTCGCACCAGGAGTTAGAAAATGGTGTCAAGGCTGCAAATCTGCTGTGACTCATTTCAGCTAACTTAAAAAGGAAGAATCTTAGGTTTCAGGCTGCGTGTTGCTCAGTGACAAAGACCTGCACTGGTGGATCCTTTGCCCTCGTAGCTTTATAAACTATCTGTGCAGGCTGCGGTTAAATGGTGCTCCCTTCGTGCCCTCTCTCTGTGGGACAGGTCTGCCGGGTTGGAGCTCCATAGCGTGCTGGCAGGTCCCCAGTCCTGGTGGGGAGGGCGGGATGCAGCAGCTTGTGTTTCTGATCATGTGGGTGACACACACACACACCACCCCCCCCCCCCCCACAACAACCCCCCTTACCCAACCCCGCTATCTCAAAAAAAAACCCCCCCCCCCCCCACCATGAACCCCGCTTAAGCACCCCGCTTATCTCAGCTGGGTGCTTGCTCAGCTTTGCCATCCCCACCGAGAGCGGTTAAGACCTGCTCTGACTCGGTGCAAGCGGTTCTCTCTCGTAAAATTCCCCAATCTCTGCATCTTGCTGATGGAGTAAACTCCTTTCAAAGATTACAGACGAGAAGGAAACTTGTGATCCTCTAAGCACCCTGGCACGCTGGGCTCAACGGCCCAGTTCTGCAAACCGAGTTTTCAGTGCAAGTTTTTGTATAAATGTTTTCCTGTAAGCTGTGGAGAGGGACTGTGCCGTTTCTCGTCTCCGGGAAGTAAATGCCAGCGTGCAAAACCTGTCGTTAATGTTGTCGCCACAGTGCCCTCTATGCTTTGCTGGCCATTGAATGACGTTTCACAAGAAAGAGGCAACGGAAACTGTTACCTAAGCTCCACTTTCATGCTCAAGTGATTTTTATATTTTTATAAAGAAGAATCGTCATCCATTTGGTTGAGCTATTTCTGGATCTGAGGGAAGGAAAGCTGGAGGCCTGGGCTGGGTTTGGGAGGCTAGCAGTTCCTGCCCTGTCTGTTTCTCACTTCTCAAAAAATGAGACTCAATTTTAAAAACGCATGAATAAAGGATTGCATTGCAAAGCAGTGATTTAAACCCTCAGTACCGAATTTTCAGATCGCTTCTAAGAATGTGAAAATCCTCTCAGCTGTGAGAGGTGGTGCTGCAAATGGATAGCTGCTGTAACGAGAGCGTGTTCTGCTTGGCAGAGCTAAGCTATCGGAGCCATTTGCTCTGGAGTTGTTTTGCTCTTACACTGCACTAATTATTTCCCTTCAACGTGTGACTGGAGAAAATCCCTTGGAGGGAATTTCGTTGTTTTATTATCGTTGCATCAGCGTTTTTTACTTGCCAAATAATAAAGCCCAAGTCTTTCCCTTGTCAACTCCTAAGTTTTAATTCAGCCTCACAGTTAACAGGGAAGGGTCAGTTTGACATGCGGGACTGAGACCAGTCTGCTGCCGGTAGTTTGCTGATAGGAGCTGAACTAACTGGTTTTTGAATGGTCCTCCCACCTTCGCTTTGAAATCTCTTGTAAATATACAGTTAGATTCTTTCATTACAGATTTGGAGATGTCTCGTGATGTTGTCTGTCTTGTCCAGTGCCTTCGACTGATCGGAGAATCAATTTCCTTGGAAATGGCATTCATAATGGAAATGGCTTGCTCCCGCCTCCAGCCTCCAGAAAAGGCTGCAGAGGAGATCCTGGAGGACTTGATAGCTAATGACACGTAAGGAGACATTTTTGCAGAAGCTCCCCTGCAGGGAGGCAGGGATGGCTGAGCAGGGATTGCCTGGAGCTGTCCTTGATCGGCAGCAGAGCGCATTTGGGATGCGCGGGCTCTCCCTGTGCTGCAGGAGACCTTTCCAGGTCCCCTCAGAGATGGGGAGCATGGGTGTTGGTGACGTTAGCAGGGTCTTCCATCCAGAACCCCCTTGCTGTTGCCTGGGGCCCTCCAGAAGGGAAATGTTGGTGATTCTCAGGTGAGATAGAGGGCGGAAGAGGCACAAGTTCATGCTAGGTGATCATCGCAGTGTGGAAAGCAAGTGCCTGCAGACGTTAGGTAGAGGTCAGAGCCTTGGTCAAGCCTCCTGAAGTCATTCCCCCGTGGAATGCCAGCTATCTGACTGTTATTTCCTGGTCGCCTGGGGGAGTGGAATAAATAGACTGGTCCCTGCAGGCGCTGTTACAAAAGTCCAAGCCAGAAGAGGATTCCCATCAAGAATGTCCAGGCTGGTCAGATACGCTCCCTCCTGGGGAGGATCAGTAGGGGAGGAGAGGGAGCCCTCTTGAGTTTAAACCTCATGTTGCTGATTATCATCATCATTATTATTATTATTATCTTTTTTACTTTGCAGGGAAAATGTGATGGAGGATATACACAGCAAACTGCAGGAGATCAGAAACCCCATCCACGCCATCGGAGTGCTCATCCGAGAAATGGACTACGAGACGGATGTTGACATGGAAAGAGGTGAAAGCTCCACAGCAGTGCGTTTGGGCTGGGAAAGCGGCGGCTCAGCAAGTGTTCTTGTCAGTCTAGTTCTTCCCCTTATCTCGGTGATTTTATCTTTCAGCTCACCATCTAAATATGCGCATGAACCTCACCCAGCTGTATGGCAGTGGTACCGCTGTCAACGTGGTTTGCTGGGGGGTATGTAAGATTGCCACGATCCGTTTCCTGATCTGTCGGGACTTGTTGATCCTCCAACAGCTGTTGCTGCGGCTTGGAGATCCTGTGAGTACAGCCCTTGAAGCTACTTGCTACGCTCTTTGAACTTTTGGATCTGGGGTTCTGCTGGTGCCAGACTGTGAGCTCTGTCTCTTCCCACAAAACACTGGAGGCTGTTTGAACTAGCCCGAGGCTTGGGCAAGCCCTCTTCTCTCCTCCAGCCGCTTTTTGTCATCCTAAGCAAAGCAGCGGTGCGCTGCGTTCACGCCCTAATTCCCTCTTTCCACGCTGAGCATCCAGGAAGCAAAACTCTTTTCGCGGGAGGAGGGCATCATTTCCAGCCTCCCGTCTGAAACAACGCTGCCTGAGCACGTGCAGTTCTCCCATCTGTTCCCCATCCCTCCCACCCCACTGCGCAGCCCAGCACACACACGATTGCAGCCTTATTCTCTGGCCACGCAGCACCTTTGCGTCACAGCAGCGGTGTTTACCCAGAGGCTGTGGTTTCGGCCTCCGTGAGCAAACAGCCAGTGCAAACAGCCGCCGTGATGGCAGCTGTGTTTGGGGTCGTGGGCTGGGCTGGGCCGGGCCCGTCCTGTTGGCCGTATGGCCGCATGAGGGATGGTGCTGATGGTTTGAGTCGACGCAGGGGTGCGTAACAAGTCCCCAGACAAGGGGAGTGTTGTTTAAACCAATATTATTTACTTGGAAACATTACTGCAGTAGCTTCTCGGTTGAAAAGAAATCCCCTTCTTCCTGGATAAGGCTGCCCTGGGAACATTTAAAGCGCACTGCAAGGTGCCCTTCTGGAGCCAGGCATGTGACCTGCTGCTTGCTTGATGAGGAACTGCTGCTGTGCCACCCTGACGTGCTTGTGTCCTTCACAAGCGTGGATTGCTTTTCCTCCCCTGTCCACCTAGCCCTGCTGCTCTTGGCTGGAGCACACAGGGGTGCAGTGCCCGAGCAGCAGGGCTGGGCCCCGAGACGGTCTCTGCAGCAAAGCCGTGATTTCACTTTCAGTGACAGCGCAAAGCACCTTTTTGCTGGTGTCCCTGGCGTCGGGAGGTGCTGGTGTTTGTAGGCTAGAGAAGCGCTCGGTGTGCACGTAGCTTTGCTTGTTAAGCCTTCCCCACGGGATCTGGGCCGCCAGAATAGTTAACTCACCCCTTGGTCCTGAGGTGACACTGTAATTTGTGACTGGGTCATTCTGGCACACGCGAGAGTCCTGCTGGTCTCCTGGGTGGGTTGAGTTAACTGCCGGGCTATTGACCGCCTCGGTGTTCGCAGGGGGGGCGAGCTGGGCCTGACACAAACCTCGCTGATCGCCCTTCACCTGCCGTCGCTCTCTGGGCTTGGCCTCTCGGTGTGCCAACCTCTGTGGTTTGCTTGCAGATGGTTTTGGGAGGGGGACAGCTGTTCCAGTCTCAGCAGGACCTGCTGCACCGCACCTCTCCCCTGCTGCTGTCCTACTACCTGATCAGGTGGGCAAGCCAGTGCCTGGCGTCGGACGTCCCCGTCGACACGCTGTAAGTCTCTACCGTGCCCATTCTGCCTTTGATTCTAGGTTCCTGCTAAATCCACCTGGAATGCCCTTCCTGGTATGAAAAGCTGGTGGTTGCTGTGGGAGTCTCACTCTAGGAGTCAGGTTGTGCTGGGGAGGGTTGTTTGGGTTTTTTTTTTTCCATGTTTTGAGCTGACTGTTTGCCTTGTGCTAATTCTGCCGTGTGAGGTCTCGCTGTTCTGTGCACTGTTGCCTTTTTCAGCAGTAGGAGTCATTTGAGTTGAACAATGAGCACAATTAAAGCAGGAGGCGTTTTGTTGTCTCTTCACTGATGGCTTTTTCTTCTCTAGGGAATCTAATCTGCAGCATCTATCTGTGTTGGAGTTAGCAGACACTACTGCTCTAACACCTCATAAACTAGGTAAGATGTCCACAGTTCATCAGCTCTCGGTTTCTGTTATTTATACCTCTTGCGCTCTGGGTCTCTGCCACCCGAGGCGAATGCTTCACGCGGTGAGCTAATGGAGTGGATGGTTGAATGACCCCGCTTTACGTGGAGATGTTTGTCATGCTGTCCACCAAAAAACAACAACAAAACCAAAGTATCTTGTAGCATTGGACTCTGACCAGAGACGTGGATCTTATTCTCAGCCTGAGGAGGATGGGAAGGCCTTGCTCAGCCAAACATTATTAATTCTGGCCCCGGCAGTATCAGCCAAGCTCACCTCTTGCTCCTGTACGTTAACAGTGGCTAGTGGGTCAGCCCAGGCCTGCCCTGCTCGCTAGCCGTTATCCCACAGCGAGCAGGAGCAGCAGCTCAAGGAAGCGAGAGAATGTAGAAATACTTCCCCAAAACATGCTTGTGCTTCCAACACTTTGCAGTTCACATGTGAGTGTTGCTCACAGCCAGTAACCTCGAGGGGGAAATCGCAGCTGATAATTTGTTCACATTTTAAAAGTCTTGCTGCAAAGATGTACACTTTGGGTTACTGTCCTGGGGGAGAAATCCTAATGGGGGAGAATATAAGGCAACTTAATTAGGAGGATGTGTACCTTGAAGTGGTTACAGAGGGAGGTGGTGAGCAGGGCAGGGGAGAAAATGCACAGGTAAGAGCCTGCTGTAACTAGTCTGCGTGGCTCTTCGAGGCTGCGACCCTTCAGAGGGAGCTGAGAAAATCAGTGACAAACAGGCAGCAGTGCCACGTGTGAAGGGCTGTGAGCTGGGGAAGAACTTCCTCCGCTTGCTGACGAGCCTGGGGCATCTGTGCTCTTTGTAAGCAGGCTGCCATCTTCAGAGTCCGAACTCTCCCTGAATGAGAGTCTCGGTTCAGTAGGCAGTTGCCTCAACGTAAATGTCAGCACATGAAAGCGAAATTGAAAACATCCTTTGTGCGTGCCAGTGTCGTGGGTTATTTCTTGGCCCGCTCATGAGGAAAGTCCTGTTTGGCCTCTGTGCTTCAGGAAAAATATGTGAAACGTAGGGAAGATAGAAAGGAGGTGGCAGCCTGGGGAGAGGCGCCGAGAACAGTTAGCTAATGGGAGATTGGACTGCTTAGGGCGCTGGAATGAGGAGGGAGGCATCTGAACAGAGCCAGATAGCCGAATCGGCACTCCCTCAGCCCTGCCCTGCAAAATGCTCGGTCGTGCTGGAAAGGTGCAGCTGGGCTGCGAATAGCACAACTGGAGAGAGAGCACAGCCCTTTTTTTTCCTCTCGTGTTATAATTGAGTTGTGGTTAATAAACATTGCAGTATGTGGCTCTTTGATCTCCTGCTGCTCCCTCTGACTTAACCAGACGGCACGAGAAATCCAAAACCAACAATTTTGAGTATCGAATGTGCTTATTGTTTTGCTCTGACTTAATCTGTGACGTTTGGACTGGTGAGCACAGCGCGGTGTAGAAAGCCTGGGATGTCTGCTGCGGGCCCTCTTCTCAGCATTTCTTTAACCTTGTATTTTTAGTATCCGGCCCTCAAACAATTGTGGAGCTGTTCTTTCAGGAAGTGGCCAGAAAGCACATCATATCTCGACTCTTCTTGCAACCAAACACCTCTTTGGCTGAAACAAGTTTGAACTGGCCCCATCTCATTACCGCAATAGTGGCTGACTTTCTGCCGCTCCTGTATCCTTGGCTGTAAACCCGCTGCGAGGTGCTCGCTCTCGCCGGGGCCGTAACCAGGGGGAGTTTCTGTACGGCAACGGCAGTGCCGGAGCCCCTGCGCGAGTTGTGCGAGATTGCACGGAGGCTGCGTATCGCGTCCCGGTCCCGAGGCTGGGAGCGTCAGTGGGTCTGTGGGAGGGTTGGGGTTGTGGAGTGCTCGGGGGCTGTAAGTTGGCCATCTCTGCCACCGAGCCTCGTGCAGTTCCAAAATCAATGGTTTCCACACCCAAATTTCGAAGGCAAGTCTCCTGAACAAGTGACTGTTGTTGGTGTTAATGGGATTTGCAGGTATTTTAAGATTTCACAGAATCCATCCCGTTTAGGTGCACAATAAAGGATTTGAGTTTTTGACTTTAAGCCCCTGAGCTCTAGCAACTTGACTTGGCGAGGTGCAGTGCTGGGAGATTTGGAAGGGTAACAAGATTTGGGCAGTTGTGGATTAGATGTACTAATGGTTTTGTTCTAATATGGATAAATCTTATTACAGAATAATGACTTGTATAAAGAGCGGCTTAATCTTCTCTCCTTTCCCCCCACAAACTGGGCGTGAGAGGCATGCCGACTTTCAGACTAGTCCTCCGAGCTCTCCGGACTGGATTGTCCTCCGTTCCTTAACCTCCGCACAGATGGCCCAGCAATCCCGGCTTCCTCTTCCCCGAGTGCCTGATGGGGAGCTGTCAGTACACCCAGCTGCAGGTGAGTGCTTCGCGCCGGCTCTCCCGCAGGCGCTGAAAAGGGGAAGAGCAGGAGCGAGCACAAGTCTCTTTCCACGCGTGGGTTTCTTCCGTAGCAGCTCTGCGCTTTGGCCGATGCGGAGGGTGTAACGCAGTGTGAGCTCCGTGCGCAGCCGCCTTACCTCTGCTTAGAAAAAGCTACCCAAAGCATCATCTTTCCGGGTGCTGGGGTTTGTTCTGCTTTCCCCTAGTCGCTGCTCTCTGAGCTCAGACCTGAGCTAATCTTCCCAAGTGCTCTGCTCCCGTGTCTCCCTTTTGGAGACGATGGGCTGGAAGTTTGTCCTGCAGATGAAACACGCTGCAAGGAATGATTCTTTTGGAGAATTGTTAGAAATGTCTCTCAGAACTATCGCAGTGTCAGTGCAGTGAACAAATTGTAAGGTAGTAAATATCTTCCATCTTCCTCATGCATCTGTCTTGTTCCCTCTAGTGTCCGCCTCTGCTAATGGAAGGACTTGTTGCTAAATATCTCGTACCTAGAAAATGCCGCAGAGAGTTTGCTGGGGAATGATTTAAGATGGTCATCTTATGCATTTCCTCTTTTCATCTGTTTTCAAGAAAATCCAGGCATAAGTGCTCAGGATTGTTATATACCCTTTTCGTGGGAGTTCAGTCTCCCGGGGCTTGCCTGACAGCGTGGGACTGCCTGCAAGAAACATCTTTGCGGAGCTTGTTTAGATATCACAGCAAGCCCGTGATCCAATAGCTTGTTACCTGCTGATGTACCCGCAGCCTTTCCTGTGCTACTACTGCAAACAGATTGCCCGTGGGACTGGGGGTTCAGAAGGCTGCCTTCAACCCAGCAGCAGCAGTACTGTTTCAGGAGGGCTCATCTATTTCTTAAATGTCCTTACTAGTAAAAAATGGTGTAAGAAACATCCATCGTCTTTCCATCCCCGGCTGCGCTCCCAACATCTTGGTAGCAGGGCGAGTCAACTGCGTTTTTTTTTTCCAGGTGTCTCCATAGGGCGCTGTATTTCAGACCACTGTTTCTCCACCGTCCCCTCCCGTGTTCTCCAGGGGCTTGGTAGTTGTAGCTGCTTGTGCTCTAGTTCTGAACGGCACGATTTCTTGTCTGCAGAGCCACGCGACGCATTTCATTCCCCGACTGATGGCAGTCCTTGAGGCATGCGGGGCTAGGCAGGCTGTTATTAGCGAGATGTCTTTTCCTGTGCTTAGCAGAACCTTTTATTCTCACAGTCCCTTACACCTGGGGGCTGAATTGCTTTCTTTTGTGTTCACGTTGCTGCCGAGAAGAATGTCAAATCTGCAGAGCTTTTGAGCCAGGAAATGCCAGGACGGTTTCGGCAGCATCGTTCTGCCTCCTGGCGTATGTGCGCTCTCGTGGCGCGAGCACGCTTTGAATTTCCTTGCGTTGCTTTCACTTCACTTGTGTCCCGCCTCGAGGAGATACGAGAGACTTTTATCTCTGCAGGAGCGGGCTCTTCCTCCTCCCCGCTACCTTCTGTTACGCTTACTGATCCCAGTTGGTCACGTAAACTTGGATTAAGTGCATTGACCTCGGGGAGCTAACACCAGATTTGCTGTGAGCGTGAGCACGGTGACCCAAATAGAGGTGGAGATGCAGGAAGCACCCTGTGAGTAACAGGCGGGCACGGAGACGGTCTAGTGACCAAAGCGCTGGCCTGGGAGAAGGGCCAAACCTCTCCTTGTTGCTTATTCTCTGTGACAAGCTGTTGAGCAAGCCTAGGGTGGGATTTATCTGTTGTAGCTGGCTAATTTGAGCGGTGAATCCAGGCTCAGAGGATGCGTTGCCATGCGGCTTTTAGTCGGACCCTTGGCTGGGGTAGGCGAGGCATATGTGCTGGTGGTTTACGCACATGCAAAGACGCAGGTCGGCCGGTGAAACCTTGGCTTTACCACCGGGTCCTGGCTTCT